GTAGGGTTTAGGGTTTAGGGTTTAGGGTGTTAGGAAGTAGTCGAACCTTCAAACGCCCTGAGGTTTCTGTCCATGCTGCTCTCGAAGTTTGACGAAGTACAGGCTACAGCCTTTCATTCAAGGGAGTTTAGGGTTTAGGGTTTAGGGTTTAGGGTTTAGGGTTTAGGGTTTAGGGTTTAGGGTTTAGGGTTTAGGGTGGGAGTCATACTCGGACCCCTGAGGATGTGCCCCGAAAGGTTCCCCTTCCGAATTATTGGCCCCTCCAGGCCCCGAAGCATGCCAAGGAATTGTTGGCATTGAGGGTTTGTAAGGTTTAGGGATTTTCGGCTTTCGGGTCTAGGGCTTGGGATTTGTAAGGTTTAGGGTTTAGGATTAGGATTTAGGGCTTAGGGTTTAGGGTTTAGGGTTTAGGGTTTCGGGTTTCGGGTTTCGGGTTTCGGGTTTCGGGTTTCGGGTTTCGGGTTCTTGCGCTCGAAGGCAGGTACAAGAACTTTAGTCTAGGGTTTGGGGTTTGGGGTTTGGGGTTTGGGGTTTGGGGTTTAGGGTTTAGGGTTTAGGGTTTAGGTTCAGGGTTTGGGGGTTTCTGGATGTGAGCTTTTAGACCTCGGTAGACCGCCCCCGCAAAGCTTCTAGGACAGGGCTCGGAATGACCAAAAGTATCTCCTGCTAGTCCTATGCGATTGTACTATAGTATCTACAAAAAGCCCATGGGTTTAGGGTTTAGGGTTTAGGGTTTAGGATTAAGGGTTTAGGGTTTAGGGTTTAGGGTTTAGGGTTTAGGGTTTAGGGTTTAGGGTTTAGGGTTTAGGGTTTAGGGCGCCCAGTCGAATCATGAAGGCCCCATTTAAATTCCTATACTCCACAAGAACTGATGGTCAAGGAGGAACTCCTATGGCAACCTCAGCAAGGGAAGTCTAGGAATATAGGAACCCTACACTTTACACTTTCTTGGGATACAGAACTGAAAGTGTACACTTTTGGGGGGCTGATGAACTCAGCAACTGAGAGAACGTAGGAGCTCCACTTCGGGTTCAGGGTTTTAAGGGTTAAGGTTTTCGGGGTTCCGGGTTTAGGGCGGCCGTGCAGTGTGATCTAGGCTTTAGGGTTTAGGGTTTAGGGTTTAGGGTTTAGGGATAGGGTTTAGGGTTTCGGGTTTGGGGTTTCGGATTTTCGGTTTAGGGTTTAGGGTTTCGGGTTTAGGGTTTAGGGTTTAAAAGTTTAGGGTTTTGGGGTTCTCGGGCTTCAGGCTTACAGTCTAGGGTCCAGGCGTTCAGGGATTGAGGTTTGAGGGGTGTAGGGTGTAGGGGAACTGTCGGGTACATGTCGGATGCTCAAGGGCATTGCCCGCTGAATATCCGAAACCAACGGCATGCCATGACCATGCATTTCGCCTAAACCCTAAACCCTAAACCCTAAACCCTAAACCCTAAACCCTAAACCCTAAACCCTAAACCCTAAACCCTAAACCCTAGGTGCACTTCAACCCCCAAGGCGAACCCCCAAACCTGCGACCTTCAACCTCCAACTCTAAACACCTCAAACTCCAAACCCAAACCTTAAACCCAACCTCATGAAGGGTGGCTCTGCAAAAGTATCGTATTAGCTGCCCCGGCAAGGAGACCATGACATGCGAGTTCGTCTACAACCCACACGCTAACAGGCTTTAAACTTTGTGGTTCTTTACTGTAACTTTACATCTTTAGCCTTTTTGGGTTTATTGGGTTTCTTAAGAAGGCAGCTAGAAACTAAATTTATAGCTACCCTTCTAAGTGCAGCCAAGTAAAGTTAACTTTAAAGTTTCGGGTGGTAAGGTTTGAGGGTCTAGGGCTTTCGTTCTCATGGCTGCCCGCGCCTGCCGCCTAGCTCCATACCGGGCCCTGTGCGGCGCCAGAGTCTAGCCAATAGTTGAACTTTTAAACTTTTTGGGTCTCCTTGGGGTTTAGGGTTTAGGGTGTAGGGTTTAGGGTGTAGGGTTTAGGGTTCGGGTTTACGGTTTAGGGTTTACGGTTTAGGGTTTAGGGTTGATTTCCCCCCTGGTTATTGGAGAAGTAAGGATTGGGGGTTCTCGGCTCCCTGGGAAAATGTCTTCGATGTGCTGGCAGCTTTCCTGCACCTGGGTCTCCAGTTGATTACGATTTAGGGGACATGCCCGGGCCAATAATCAGCTGTTTTGTAGCGTTTAGGGTTTAGGGTTTAGGGTTTAGGGTTTAGGGGATAGGGGGTTTAGGGCGTTTAGGGCGTTTAGGGCGTTTAGGGCGTTTAGGGCGTTTAGGGCGTTTAGGGCGTTTAGGGCGTTTAGGGCGTTTAGGGCGTTTAGGGCGTTTAGGGGGTTTGGGGTTTAGGGCTTTGGGTTGAGGATTTAGGGTTGCAGGTGCATCGCGGGAGCTGGGCGGAGGCGCCTTCAGTGCGCGCACCGGATGAGACGAAGCCTGAAGCAACCCTTGCCCGGTCGAGCCGCGAGCGTGAAGTCGCGGCCGCCTGCGCGGCCTTGTCTGAGACTCGGCTGCTGTTGGGTTTAGGACTTAGGGTTTAGGGTTTAGGGTTTAGGGTTTAGGGTGAAGGAGCTTTCAGATGGTTTCCATAGCGAGGAAACCATATTCGATGCCTTTGATTACATGATATCTACACCATCTATTCCAAGCCCTAAGCCCTAAACCCTCAAGCCTATGCCCTAAGTCCTAAGTCCGAAACCCTAAAACCTAAACCCGAAACCCTACACCCTAAACCCTAGACCCTACACCGATTTCGAGTTCCCATACTCTGCAGCTCAGGAAAGCGTCAAGGCAGGGGACACCGCCTGGTTCGAGCGGGTCATCATCCAGTTGCGGAGCATCCTCCTGGAGACTTGGAAGGGTTTAGGGTTTCGGGTTTCGGGTTTCGGGCTTCGGGCTTCGGGCTTCGGGCTTCGGGCTACAGGCCCAGGGGTGCCCTCTTGCCCTTTTTGGGTTCCTGGTTCCCCTGGGCTCCCCAACCATAAAAGGAGAGGCAGAGCGAGGATGCCGTGACGCAGGCTGAGGCAGCCGGGACGCCTTTTCCCACAAGGGCAGCTTGGTGACCTACTTGGAGCTTTGTGGTACGTTACTGTGACTTTAGATCTTTACCTTTTTTGGGTTTATTGGGTTTCTTAGTAAGGCAGCCAAAAGTTTAATTTATAGCTACCCTCCTGAGTGCAGCCAAGCTTGGAGGTTCGTGGTACTTGGTAACCCAAGTTTAACTGTACTTTGAACCTAGGATGCCCAGTAGTACCCTTATTCCCTTTTTTTTTGGGGGGGGGGGGGGGGGGGGGTTAGGTTCCCTTATAAACTCCTTTTCAGCAAAAAAGGGCACCCTTTTTTAGCCTAGGTTACGGGGCAGCCTAGGAACCCAATTATAAGCATGTTAGGGTTTAGGGTTTAGGGTTTAGGGTTTAGGGTTTAGGGTTTAGGGTTTAGGGTTAGGACACTTAGAGGGCTGATGAGTGGGTTATAAGTACAGTTATACTTGGTTGGTAAGGTTGTTTTTGGGGGTTATGTAGGGGCTGCGTAGGTCCATAGGGACTATACAAGGTACATGTAGGGGTTCGTGTAGTGGCACCCTTGGTATAAGGCCCGGTCCCTACCCTTTCCTTTCTTCTTTTGCCCTTTGCAAAGTAACCAACCCCAAAAAGGGTGCCCTTATCATATGGCTGCAGGGCTACCAAGGCACTTCCCACAACGCCGCCGATGGCCACGCCCATCACATCGGAACCGCAGAGGGCCGAACCCGAGCCTCCCTGGCTGGAGGCCCTGCGGCTACTCGACGCTTTGCGCTTCTGAGCAGATTGATTTCTGTCTCTATCCCGACCCCCAGCAGGCCCATAAGAACCCCTGGAGCAGGGTGTGTGGTGTTTAGGGTTTAGGGTTTAGGGTTTAGGGTTTCGGGTTTCGGCGACCTTAGACTCTAGGCTGTATATGGGTCCGTGTTTTGGGATCCCTTTTTTAAAAAGTGTCGCCTTATAATGGGTTCTCAAAAAGGGACCCTGATTTATGAAACTGCCCATAAGTTCCCTAAACCCTGAACCCTGAACCCTGAACCCTGAACCCTAAACCCTAAACCCTAAACCCTAAACCCTAAACCCCAAACCCAAACCCACCGGTGAGGAAGAAGCCGCGCGGCCTCAGCCAAATCCAAGCCCCAAGCCCCTGGCAGCGGGTCACTTCCCGGCTCGCGTGCCCGCCCCGCCCGCGGCCTCGGGAGAGGCGCGGCTCGGACATTCGGGCTTTCCCTCGGTTTTTTTTTCGTTTTTGTTTTTAACTTTTCTTTTTTGGGGTTTATCAGGGTTTATAAGGGACCCTAGATATGAGTACTTTTTAAAGTGTTTTTGGTTTTTCCTTTGTGAGGTTTATAAGGGACCTGACGTATAAGGAAACTTTCAAAGGGTTTTAGTAAGGCCAACCCAGTTTCGTGTTTTCAGGGATGATGGGGGTTTCATTTAAGGCTTCGGGCTTTTGGGGGCTTGTTTGGGCGCTTTTGGGTTTAGGCTGCAGGGGCGTAGTAGGGATTGCCTAGGTCTCCAACTACTTGCTGTTTTCGCTGTGGGTCATACGCACTGCAGCTGGGGGATTGCAAGCTACGAATTTATAGGGTTTGGGGCACAAGCCAAGCCTCAGCCCTGTATCTCGTGAAATAGGAAGCTGCACCTCTAAACCCTAAACCCTAAACCCTAAACCCTAAACCCTAAATCCTAAACCTTAAACCCTAAACCCTAAGCCCTAAACCCCAAACCCTAAACCCTGCTTTTGGTCGTGAGCTTGGAGCCTGCACCCTAAGCCCCTTTAGCCTGCTGATGTTGCGTCGGACAACCACGATGAGCTAGTCTAGCCCATAATCCCTGGCTGATTATGGGGATGAGACCCCAAACCGTGAACACTGCTGTACACCCTGTACCCTAAATACTAAACCCTAAACCCTAAACCCTAAACCCCAAGAGCCCATCCCTCGAAGAGGAGAAGCTGAAGGCGTACTTAGACTCCTTTGCCACCATGCAGGCCTCGCAGCAGGGCTTTCAGATTCTGGGATCCTATGCTTTTAGGGTTTAGGGTTTGGGGTTTAGGGTTTAGGGCTTAGGGTTTAGGGTTTAGGGCTAGGGTTTAGGTCTTTCAGATTCTGGGACCCTATGCTACCCATATCCACTCGTTTTGGGGGCAGTTTTGGGGGTAGGAGGTCGATAGCCCTAACTGATCTTAATGCCGGTGCAGTTAGGGTAAGGGACGGTCTATGGAAATCGGGCCATGCCAAAAGACTACCTGCATCGACTCGTCCGAAGGTACCAGCAAATCTGGGGCCCCCCCTTGGGTTTAGGGTTTAGGGTTTGGGGTTTAGGGTTTAGGGTTTAGGGGAAGTGTCAACAGTGGAAAATGTGCGGTTGCTCGGCACATGATGAGCAAAAGTTCGCTGTCAATCATGCATTCCGTACTTTGTATTATTGTTGAAGGCGTAGTAGCAGCATGTGTAGCAGAGCTCGAGACCTCGTGTAAGTGCTGGATTTTGCTTCCCAGCCCCCGAAAGAATGAGGTCAAGAATTGAAGCAACCTTGTCCAAACTGTTGTGGCCTAAACCAAACTGCCACCAGCCAAAGAGATCAAGAAGCCGCTGAAAACCGAGTACCCACAACCCTAAACCCTGTAAGCCCTTAAGCCTTTAAAAGCCCTTGCGCCCTTGTACCCTTAAGCCCGTAAACTCAAACGCTTAACCCTTGAAGCCCTAATGCCATAGCCACTCAAGACGCAATCCCGAGACACACTGGGGGAGGGCTTAGGTTTACTGGGGTTTAGGGTTTAGGGTTTCGGGTTTAATTAGGGTTTAGGGTTTAGGGTTTCGGGTTTCATTAGGGTTTAGAATAGGTTGTGGGGTTTGGGCTTAAGGCTCAGAAAGGGCAAAGGGGCCGCTCTGCAAAGGTCCTCGGGACCCAGAGTAGGCCGCCCTTCTTTCCCCCTTTTTTTGGGGTTTAGATTCCCTCTGTCAGCCCCCTTGAAGCCAAAAAGGGGCAGCCTTTGTATTCCTCGTTTCCTCTTACCTCTAAACCCTACACCGTAAATCCTAAGCCCTAAGCCCTAAGCCCTAAACCCCAAACCCTACACCCTATACCCTAAACTCTAAGCCCGAAGCCCTAAGCCAGAAAACCCTAAACCTTACACCCTAAACCCCCCAACCTTCAAGCCTAAACCCTCAACCCTAAACCCTAAACCCTCAACCCTAAACCCTAAACCCTAAACCCTAAACCCACAGGCAAGTGAGGAGGAGGACCCCGCCTGGGCGCGGGCGATCCGGATCCTCGAGTCGGTGCCCGTCAGCCAAGGACCAGCCCTGGGGGTTTAGAGTTTAGGGTTCAGGGTTTAGGGTTTAGGGTTTCGGGTTTAGGGTTTAGGGTTTAGGGTTCAGGGTTTAGGGTTTAGGGTTTCGGGTTTAGGATTTAGGGTTTAGGGTCGGGCTTCCCTGAACCCTAAGCCCGATGAATCTTAAACCCTAAACCTTATCAGTCCTAGACCCGTTAACCCTCAACCCCACGGTGGTCTGTCGGGTGGAAGTTTTCGGGTTTAGGGTAAAAACCCTAAACCCTAAACCCTAAACCCTAAACCCTAAACCCTAAACCCTAAACCCTAAACCCTAAACCCTAAACCCTAAACCCTAAACCCTAAACCCTAAACCCTAAACTGTGGGAGGACCCTGTTACCCTGTCGCCCTGTTTACGCTATAACCCTATAACCTCTAAGTCTCTTCGCTTACTACAACCCTAAACCCTATTACCCCCATTGCCTCTTTTTATCTATAACCCTCGAACGCTATAATCCCTAAAACCCGACACCCTATGCAAACCCTCCAGTTATAGTGCTTTGAAGGAAGGGGGTTCATGGGGGATAGGTACCAAGGAAACTTTAGGGAAGCTTAGGGAGCCTTGCGGAACCTTTGGTCATACCTAAACCCTAAACCCTAAACCCTAAACCCTAGACCCTAGACCCTAGACCCTAGACCCTAAACCCTAAACCCTAAACCCTTAAAGAGCCCCATAATCCAGGGCAACGGCGGCAAGAGCCGCCCCAGCAGCCCAGCAGGGCGCCGCAGCCGCTGCCCACAGCCGGCAGCAGTCGAAGCGCCACAGGCAACCACCCCGAACCCTGTGGGGTTTAGGGTTTAGGGTTTGGGGTTTGGGGTTTAGGGTTTAGGGTTTAGGATTCAGGCTTTGGTGTGACTTGAAAATTCGGAGCCGGCTTACATGGGATAAGCGACAGAGAGCAAACCCTAAACAGTAAACCCTAAACTCTAAACCCTAAACCCTAAACCCTAAACCCTAAACCCTAAACCCTAAACCCTAAACCCTAAACCCTAAACCCTAAACCCTAAACCCTAAACAAGTAGACTCTGCAGCCGACCTCCAAACTGAAAGAGGTTTGCACTACACCCAAACCCCGAAAGCCTAAATCCCCGAATCCCCTAAACCCCCTATTCCCCCTAACTTAGGGACCCTACGCCCCTGAGCCCCCTAAGACCCCCTAAACCCTCTCAACCAACCTCTCCCAACCCTACACCCTAAACCCTAAACCCTAAACCCTAAACCCTAAACCCTAAACCCTAAACCCTAAACCCTAAACCCTAAACCCTAAACCCTAAACCCTAAACTCCAAGAACTGCCGTGCCAGGGCGCGACTCGGGAGATCCGGGCCAACCGATTCGGCTGCAGTCATATCAGAGGCCAGGCCTCCAGTTAAAGGATCAGGGGACTTAGGACTTAGGGTTTAATGTTGCACTGTCCCCCCCCCCCCCCCAACAAATTTGGACCCTCTATAAACGCGTGGCACAAAATTTGTTTGGGGCCTCGTTTCGTAATGAATTTCCATAAGGTTTTACATGGAACTGGCCGGGCTTAAACTTCTGGATTCTCCGCGCTTTGGCTCTTTAAGATTCCTGGAGCCCAAGACCCTCAGGGCCTCAAGCCTTACTGCGTAAGCCCTTAACCCAAAACACAAACCCTTAAAAAAACGTCCGCAAAAAACTTGTGATAATAGACGGTACCCCAAACAAACTCGGTTCGCTGAATAAATTTTCGAAACTTGTGATTATAGACCCCTCTTATACTAAAGTCGGGATTTAGGATTTAGGGTGTAGGGTTTAGGGTTAGGGTTTAGGGCTCAGGGCTTAGGTTTTAGGGTTTGGGGTTGGGGTTTGGGGTTTGGGGTTTGGGGTTTGGGGTTTGGAGTTTGGGGTTTGGGGTTTGGGGTTTGGGGTTTGAAGATTTCCGTGCTTGGGCCTTAGATGGCCTTCGGCCGTCGGGCGTGGACCTTTTAGCACTCGTGCGATGCGGAGATTTGCCGAACGGGAGCGGAGCGGGAGACGGAGAGAGGGGAGGAGTTTAAGGTTCAGGGTTTAGGGAAAGTTTAGGGTTGTTGGTTGAGGCTCCGGGGTTGTGGGTTAACGGTTACGGGTGACGGGCTCAGGCGAAAGCCTTAAGCCTTTGAACATTGAAGTTCCAAACCCTTCGCCTTAAATTCAGGATTTAGGGTTTGGTGTTAAGGGTTTCCGGCTTAGCATTTTAGGGTTAGGGTTTAGGGGTTTCGTGAAGGGTTTGGGGCTTAAGTGTCTGGGCTTATCTTTGAGTTCAGCGCTATATTCTACATCCCAGAGCCTAAAGCTTCAACTCTAAACCCCAACCCCTAAGAACTCTGCCTTCTTTCCCCCGCTGCCCTTTAAACGCCCGGGTTTGCGGCAGCTTCGGTTCTGATTCGGGCTTAGGGGTTTCCATTCCAACCATCCTGTCCCTCCACGAACCGAGGATCGCTTAGGATCATTAGCTTACCCCAAGCCTTTAGGGTTTAGGGTTTTTGGTCCATACTGTGTACAGCATTGATGCTAGGGGTTTTCATCAACTTGCCGTAGCTTCTGCTAGACTCAAACCCTGCACCGCAACCAGGCCCCCAAGCGCTGATGCCAACCTAAGTCCCCATACTTTCAGCTGTGTAAACTTCTCTTTGTGGTGCTTCACTGTAACTTTATATCCTTCGCCTTTTGGGGATTATTGGGTTTCTTAATAAGGCAGCTAATAGTTTAAATTCATAGCTACCCTGCTACGTGCAGCCAAGTTCTGTGGGGCGGGCCATGGCGACGTGAAGTAAAGCGGGAGCCTTTAGTTACTTGACCGGTTTCTGATTTCCTACTCGGACTCCGATCCGTCGATGCTCCTGCTGCGCGGGTGAGCCCCCAAAGTTCCGCCCAGTTGCGCGACTACCGCGCATTGGGCACATACGCTAGTCGGGGCTCCAAGCGCCATACCCTTCGAGCCCTACCCTAAACCCTAAACCCCTAAACCCTAAACCACTAAACCTCCTTGTTGGGCCTGTAAACCCCCCAAAAACCTCATCCCTAAGAAGTCTTTAAACCCTATACCCTAAACCCTAAGCCCTAAATCCTAAGTCCGAAGCCCTAAGCCCTAAACCCTAAACCCCCAAGCCCTAAGCCCTAAGCCCTAAGCCCTAAGCCCTAAGCCCTAAACCCTAAACCCTAAACCCGAAGATGGAGGCTTCTGATGGACGGCGCTGCCCTTCCTGCGGAGCCTGGCGCCTCCCTGCCGCTGCGCTTCAGCGGCCGCGCCCAGGTCTCCGCCTCCTGGGCGGAAGCATTTAGGGTTTAGGGTTTGGGGTTTGGGGTTTAGGGAATAGCGACATCTTGGGTGTCTAAACTCCAACAACCCTTAACCCGAGGACAACTACAAGAACACAACAAGACACGCAAAAATAAGGGGTACCCTTTACCCTGTACCCTCCGACCCTCTACCCTAAACTCCCAAGCCTACACCTGAACGGCCCCTAAGCCCTAAGGTCTAGCCCGAAGCCCTAAGCCCTAAGCCCGAAGCCCTAGGCCCTATAGGCCTTAGGCCCGACACCCCAAGCCCTATAAGCCCTAAGCCCTAACTAACTATAGTCTCCTTAGTCTTTTTGGGTTGTACAAAACTCCAGAAAATTGTTGAAGCATGTTGGTTGCTCTTATTATGGTCCTAAGGGAATGCCTGCTGGGAGGTTCACGGTACTTATGAACCCAACTCTGACTGTACTTATGACCGAATTCTAACCCGATGAGGGCACTTGAGGGTCCTACAAGGGTTTAGGGTTTAGGGTTTAGGGTTTAGGGTTTAGGGTTTAGGGAAGTGGGCTACAGATACACTTACTGGGACCCAGAGCAGGCCCTTATTTCTTTTTTCATGGTTTAGGTTCCCTTGTGAGGGCCCCTTTAAGCCACAAAGGGTACCCTTTTTATTCCTAGGTTGCTCATGGGTCTAGGTGAGAATTGGGTTCGAAGTTCCATGAACCTTCAAGTAAGTGTCCTACACCCTAAACCCTAAACCCTAAACCCTAAACCCTAAACCCTAAACCCGAAACCCGAAACCCCAAACCCCTAACCCCTAACCCCTGATGCCCAGGCCCCTACTTCGCCTCGGCGCGAGGCTGGCTCCCTGCCTTCGCCCGGGCGCGCGCCCGAGGCGCCGGTCGACCTGAACCCACCAAGCCACACCTCTGGGTTTAGGGTTTAGGGTTTAGGGTTTAGGGTTTGGGGTTTAGGGTTTAGGGTTTAGGGTTCCCCAAGCCCTACACCGTACACCCTAAACCCTAATTAATCCCGAAACCCTAAACCATGGGGCTATGAAGTTCACGCTTTTAGGTTTTAGGGCTTTTTCAGATCATGGGGGATGCCGTTGCCTTTCATTTAAGGTTTGGGGCACAGGGGTTGGATTCTCAACTGCTTCCAAACAGCCCTAAAATCCTGAACCCTAAAACAGCCCCCTTCACACCCTTGAAAAACGGCTTGGGGTTGGTTTGGGGAAAACAGACCCTTAACAACCATTTAGAAGGACCTGAAAAAACAACTCTTAACACCTTGACGCCCAACTCTTAGACGAGCCTTAAACACATCCTTGCATGCCACCAAGAAAACCTTAAAACCCCCAAGCCACTTCGAAAACCCTAACCCTTACCCCAAACCCTAAACCCCAAACCCTGCACCCAAGCCCCAAACCCCAAACCCTAAACCCTAAACCCCTAACCCTAAACCCTAAACCCTAAACCCTAAACCCTAAACCCTAAACCCTAAACCCTAAACCCTAAACCCTAAACCCTAAACCCTAAACCCTAAGATAGCAAGCCATGCAGTTTTTTGAGAGGCCGCACGCGCGGCTTCTGCTGGCGGCCCTGGGCCCAAGCAGTCGGCGAAAGGCGCTGGTGTTTGGGGTTTAGGGTTTAGGGTTTAGGGTTTTTGCTTGGGGCTTAATCCCTTCCCCCGAAAGATTAACCCCCCCCCCTACCCCGAGTATCAAATACCCCAGTCTTCCAGTATAGTTATTGGGGTTTGGAGTTTAGGGTTTGGGGGGTTTTGTAGGGTTCGGTGTTTTGGTGATTGGGGTTTAGGTTTTAGCGTTGGGGGTGTGGGGCTCGGGGGTTTTCGGGTTTGGGGTTTAGGGTTTGGGTTTATACAGGAGTCTGGCGCTTAGGGGTTTAGGGGTTTAGGGGTTTGGGTTTTATGGTTGACGATTCGGGCTTTGGGGTTTAAGGTTTTGGGGCTCAACTAAGCTGTTTCTAGAGTTGCCGCTGTTTGTTGAAGCATCTTTGTACAGAAATTGGAAAGTGAGGTGGTTCTACTAGCAGTGAGAGTGATAAGGGTCAAAGCTCTTTCAAGGCTTACAGTAGGCTTTAGGGTTTTCACGGTTTAGGGGTTAAGGGCAGCAGATGTGTTTTGGCTTGCACGCTGCAAGGGTTTCGGGTTCAGTGGTCGGGGCTTGGGTGTGTGAAACCTAAGAGTCTAGGTTCAGGGTCGGGGGGGGGGGGGGGGGGGGGGGGGGGGGGGGGGCTGGGGTTTTGGTGGGTTTAGGATTCACCCCAAGGGCCACACCCCCAAACCCTAAACCCTAACCTCCAAGCCCTAAACCCTAAACCCTAAACCCTAAACCCTAAACCCTAAACCCTAAACCCTAAACCCTAAATTTTGAGAGGTTCAGGGTTCAGGCTGACTGGCTCCGAGCTTCAGAAACGAACCACTGAAACCCCACACCTCACTGAGCACTCGCTGCCCTCCCTTCTTTGTGCCCGCCACGAACTTTAGGCTCAAACCCGTCAAAGACGAAAAGAAGCTCTGATGGGTTTAGCGTTTAGGGTTTAGGCTGAAAGGTTGTCCTCATGACTCATGACCGATGCTCTGGTACATGCGAGTTATTCTGAAAGCTGAGACAGCAGATTCAGGCTTGGGGTTCAGGCATTCGTTTGCTTGTGGGAACCGAGCCAAGCCATGCAGTTGTGAGAACACCTCAGAACACCCTCTGGGAGTATTCCATCCTGCAGGGGTACCTGAGGGGTGAACCCTACACCGCGAACCCCCAAACCAGTAACTCGCAGTTAAACTGCATTCTGGTGATGCTGCGGATCTCTGTGCTGCTGCTGGCCTCGGCTGCCCACGTGGGCGCGGATGGCCCCTTAGTAGCTGAGTGAGCACACTTTACACTTTTTGGGAGACTGGACTCCCCTATAGAACTAGAAGTGTGCACTTTTTTGGGGCTTCTGAACTCAGCAACTAAGGTCCTTTGGTCACAAGCTCCAGTACCGCCGTCCCCAGCACGACCTCTCCCAGTGCCACTGCTGACAGTACCACCGACGCCAAAGCAGGCGCTCCTGGGCTTCAGGGCTTGAGGGTTTAGGGTTTAGGGTTTAGGGGTTAGGGTTTAGGGTTTAGGGTTTAGGGTTTAGGACAACGGTGCGTTGGGTTGTGTCTGCAAGGATTTTTAAAACCCGCCAGATGAGGGTGTGTTTGTTTCCTGTGTTCGCTTCTTATTCTTCTTCTGCAGACTAAACCCCGGGCCAACCCTAAACCCTAAACCCTAAACCCTAATCACCAAGCTGAGAGCCCAAAGCCTACCCCGCACGACCTGACCCCTAGACACATGTTTTCCAGTCCCAAACCCTAAGCCCTAAACCCTAAACCCTAAGCCCTAAACCCTAAAGCCTAAACCCTAAACTAAACCCTAAATCCCGAAGACCAAGCCTGAACCCTCCCTGCGGAGTTTCGAGCCCTGGGACAGCAGGCTAGGTCTACGGCGCTGCTTAACCCAAGTCGTAGTTTCCTGGTGCTCCCCCTTTTTTTGAAGGGTAGTTATATAGGCCCTTGATATGGTCCACTGCCTCTTTTTAAAGGGTTCTGAAGTCGTCATGGGCCCTGGGTTGTATAGTGTATACAAGGGGTATATAAAGGCCCCCCAGAAAAGGTTAGCATCCCTACGGTGGGTGGAGGAAATCTTGCACCGCCGACTTGATCTACTCCAAAACGGGTCTGACGCCAACCCCGCGCCCCCTTTTTAACATTGGTGCTTGTCACGATGGAAGCGGTGCAAGATTTATGTCATTGGGCCTAATCTTGAAAATCTGCTTTTCACCGCAATGTTAAAAGGGGGGCGAGGGGAGAGAATGTTATGCACCCTTGAAAGTGGTGCAAGATTTCCTCCATCCACAGTCTCCAGAAATAGGCGCAGCCTCTAGCAACAAGGTCACAGGCGGTGCAAGATTTCCTCCATCCACCGACTCAACTGAGGAGGTTTTTCGAGAGCTGAGACAACTGCAGAGCCACTGAAGTGAGTCGCACCTTGCTGTTGTCAGCTATAACTGTACTTCGCGACTTGCGCCTGTCATGCTTGCGGAGGGGCCACGCAAGTCGATTTCTGCATGTCATGCTGGCGGAGGCCATGCAAATCTTCTCCGTGTCAGGTGCATCGCGTGAATCCGACTCTAAGCCCTCAAACGAATGTCACGCTTCTGGTAGCGTTGGCTGTGTTTTCACAGTCAACGTTCAGTCAACGTTCGGTCAACGTTGCAGTCAACGTTACAGTCAACGTTGTCGAAATGCTACGCCTGCCAGCAATTCCATGGCTTCCAAGCTTAAAAGCAAAAAAATCAAGTTTTTTTTGGTTTTATAGTGAAAAACACGGATTTGCTGGCCCTGCCAGCATTTCTGCAACGTTGACTGTAACGTTGACTGTAACGTTGACTGAACGTTGACTGAACGTTGACTGTGAGAATGCAGTCAACGCTACACATGTAGTGCGATTGCTGTAACTCAGATCTCCCTTGCGGGTCACGTGATACCTGAGTGCCCAGCATTTTTTGCTGACCTGGTCATCCTGAAACGCTTAACGCGGATCTGCAGATGCCGTGTTGTCGACACACCGTCACGCAGCCCAACTAAATGAACCTTGCCACTCTTGCTCACACACCGACAAGCACAGCACCGAAGCATCTCTACTCATCACAGAACTCGACCCCGATGTGTCGCCGCTAGAAGTACTTTGAAGCACCAGGCAAGCACATGTTGGCAGGCAACGTGCAATCTGAAGCCCCTGTTAAAGCCCATGCTGGGGACTGTGGATGGAGGAAATCTTGCACCACTTTTGCAAGGCCGGCCTGTGGCAAGGGCTTTTGTTCAGTCGGTGGGTGGAGGAAATCTTGCACCGCCGACTTGATCTACTCCAAAACGGGTCTGACGCCAACCCCGCGCCCCCTTTTTAACATTGGTGCTTGTCACGATGGAAGCGGTGCAAGATTTATGTCATTGGGCCTAATCTTGAAAATCTGCTTTTCACCGCAATGTTAAAAGGGGGGCGAGGGGAGAGAATGTTATGCACCCTTGAAAGTGGTGCAAGATTTCCTCCATCCACAGTATCGGGGTACTTGGTAAGTAGGGTGATAAGTGCCTGAATTGGGCTTGTAAGTACTTGTAAAGATCGTTACCCTGCTTAGAACCCCACTTACGAAGTCCAAGATCCTTCAAGTAGAGGATCTGGGACCCCAAACCTTAAACCCTGAACGTATGAATGCCAGCGCCTGAAGACCAAAAAGCCCGACGCTTCAGGCATTCGCCTCGACAATCGCCAAAGAGCCCTTGCCGGTCTAACAGTAATCATCCCTTCACAGTACTTCATAGCCCCGGGAACATCTCTTAGTAGCCTCCCTGAACCCTAAA